ACTTACTTCCCTTTATTTTAAATAGTTTTCTAAAAGGTCCTTTTCCTTCAATCCAGTCCTGCCTCTGGGCTCTTCTTCATCTCTCTATAACCAGTTTTGATCAATATCTTCTCAAGATGTCCACATAAACTTTTGTCCAAGGAAACCACAGAGCTCTTCACACAAACACTGCCCTAAACTCTGTTTTCACAAAGCTAACAAATTAATTTTACCATTTTTGACTGCTGGTTATTGACTTGGTACAAGTGAAGACACAAAACACTTATTATTTCTGAGATGAATCACCCCTATAAAGACAAGAAAACCTGAAAACTAATTTTCATAGAATAAGAATTTAGTATTCTAGCCCAGAATTGCAATTCTCCACTGAAGACCACAGATATGTAATTAAAATATTTAGGAGCTGTTATAGGATATACTTTGGAATAGTTGAGCTGTTCACTCATTCCTGGAGACTTAAGAGAATCCTGAAGTCCACGTGTATGGATTTCCCAATTCACACATCCAAAAATGGGAGAAATGAAAAAGATTTTTGTTGCTTAATAAGGGAGACTCTGAAATCCTGTGGAGGTGTGAGTGACAAGTGCTAAGAAAATGATACAGAAAGCCCACAACAAGACATGGATTCTTTCAGATTCTTCCAATCTCAATTGAATTTTTTCCTTTTACGTGCTTCCTTAAGCTTTGAACTAGCATCAGGTTAGCAGGAGGCATAAAGGAGGGATGGAAAGGGAAGACATCATGGTAGCAGTGGGCAGTAAAAAGATCATGGAATTCTCTGTCCTTGAGACAAACAGGTGTGGTGGTGGTGGTGTTATTTTCCTTTTTCCTAGAAGTGAGCATTACTTCTTCATGGGAATTATAGACAAAGGGGAAGGGAAAAAATCACTGGAGGAAACGTTTAGGTATAATCACAGGATAGACTTCCCTAATTTATAGCTACGTCATTTTGAAAGGATATGTGGACAGTAACTGTTCCCATGCTGCTAGGAAGAAAGTAGGCCCCTGCCTGTAGGCAACTTTCCCCCTCTCTTTTCCTCTCTGCTTCTCTGGTTAAATGTGGCTTCCTCGGAGAGGGCCTCATTAACTACCCAACCTCAAGTAGGACCTGCTTGTTAATCTCTTTCAGAGAACCAGTGTTGGGCAATCTTACATTCAAAATCTCCTTTCAGCTCACTCAGTTTGAGCAATAAAACATAAGCCAAGGAAGGCGGCATTATGGAGGCAAACAGTGGAGCTCGCCTGTTTTTCTCTCATTTACGAGAAGCATTTTGGAGCTTCTGAAAGACCTCTGGGATGTGTCTTTTCTGTTATTTATTAGTGTTTAAAATTAAAAATGTAATACCTAAAATGGCAAAAATTAAGCTGTATAAAAATTTATATAATGAAAAGTAAGTCTCTCTTCTAATCAAGGTCCCTAAACTCCCTGTTAATTAACCACTGTTAATTGCTAAGTGTGTTTGCTTCCAGAAAACTTCCTATGTACGTAAAAGCATATGCCTTTTTTTAAACAAGGGGGAACATGTGGAAATAATACCTTTTAGCAATCTATTAGTATTATGATCTTTTTTTAGAACAATTTTCTGGGAAGCAATTCTATTCCCTAAATAAAAGGTTATGACTTTTAAAAGCATGTTGATGAACCAATTTAGACTAGGAGAGGAATAAATAAATAACTGTTTAGGATAATATCTAGACCATGGCAAAAGAACTAGTTGATTTCACTAATGTTAACAAGTTAGTATAAAGTCAATGAAAAAAACCCAAACTAGTCTGACAAACTAAGCCACATTTGTTCAAAGTGTTCATTTGGCACTTTGGAGCAGTCATAGCTTATTTTTTTGTCACAAAAGGGTCTATGCTATGTAATCCTCATATTTGTAACTTCTGAGGACATTACGCAGTACCTGGCGCATAGTAGGTGTTGAATTAATGAATGACTCCAGCTCATTAAATTAGGGCAATATTTTCATATTTTGAAATGAGATACTACGCATTTTGCTCAGAAAACATATTCATTTTCTACTTTATTTTCTATTTAAAGTTGTTTATCAGTGTTCCAAAGTAGCATACCTACTCTATATTGAAACAACGCACATGCCATCTAGCTGTTTAAGTGGGAGAATACGGTTCTGTTCAAGAGTCCAGGTAGAAGAGGGGCTGCCACTAGCTATTTGCTTAGAGACATCTCACTTGGGCTGTGATAAGACTGCCCAGCTTCAGGAGAGCTGCAAAGCAGGAACGCAGAGATAATGCACATCTGGTGGCCTGAAAGCACATCCTGTTCTCCTGTTCCCAAGCAGATTACAGATGAGCACCGCAGAAAGACTCAGAGGCCAGGCATGGTGGCTCATGCCTGTAATCCCAGCACTCTGGGAGGCTGAAGTGGGAAGATTGCTTTAGCTTATGAGTTCAAGACCAGAGCGAGACCCCCTTTCTACTAAAAATAGAAAAAAAATTAGTCAGGTGTGGTGGCGTGCACCTGTATTCCCAGCTACTCGGGAGGCTGAGGCAGGAGGATCGCTTGAGCCCAGGAGTTTGAGGCTGCAATGAGCTATGATGACACCACTGCACTCTACGTTGGGTGACAGAGCGAACCTCTGTCTCCCAAAAAAAAAGAAAAATCACTGAGACAACAGGAGGCAATCTGCTGAGCATGGATTTTACTGGATATTGCCTTTGTTCTAGCTGAGGGTTTTTTTTTCTGCAGTTGAAATATGGTTAGAATCCCCAATCACTGTGTGAAAATGAAAGCGCTCTTAAACAGCACAAATTAATACAGAAATTCTGCATTTGTGTGGCTGATTTGGATGGTGTCAAAATTGGCATCATAAAATTGACAGGCTGCACTTTCTAACCTGCCAAAAATAGATTTAGGCAAGAACTTGTACTGTATGATACACTGATAAGCACCCTGTTTTTAGAATGGCTAGATCCAAATGCGGGCTCTATGTCCACCACTATATTTAGTACAATGCAATATCTCCCTTGATTGGGACCTCTTAGATATGGGGAACATAATCTGTTTTTGTCAGCTTTTTGGAACACACCTGACAACCAGAAAGTAAGCAAAAATGTGAAGAGCCAAATACTTGATGTGACATTTATGTCCTAAAGTCCATGTACTTTAGTCATCGGCAAAGTGCCCGAGTCTTCACCACAGGGTGATTTTTTCTTACTTTACACCCAATGCTA